TTTAAGGCTAGTAGACATTCAACAATCAATAATGTACTATAGTATGACTCAATTCAAATTAATTGAGGTATCAGCTCTTTGAATCATTTGTATTTATTTACTCAATATGATTCCAATTGTTTAGAAAATTAAATAATTCCTAATGATTGTTAACTTACATTGACCCTCCTCGTTTATCCGGGCTTGAGACTGACTTTGATAAGCGATAGACTAGCGGGAGCTTAGTGCACCGGAATGTCCTTATGTTGAAGTTTCCTATATTTTGGTATGGGGAATGAGTAATCCATAGTGGTTTTATGTTTTGTATTTGAGAGCTGATATGGTAGTTATACAATATATTGTTATGTGAATTTGTGTCTTGTAATTTGCAAGGTGTTAAAATGGTTTTGATGATATATTGTAGGGAAGCTGGTCGCCTGACGCGAGGTAAGTTGTGTGCTTACTCCTCAATCTCCATTCTTCGGAAGATGGGCTGTTTTAGTTCTACAGCAAGACAGCAGTTTCAAGGATACGAAGATCCTATATTCCTAGCATCCCAAACAGCGTGTGAGTTCGTAATGATCTTGGTCAACTGACGTTTTACTGTTTTAGTATGTTACGATTGATTTGATAAAGTTGACCTTGTGTTGTGAAGTTGAAAGTTTTGAGATGAACAAATGGAGAAACTGTGAGGGGGAGGTTAAAGTAATGATGCTTTTTGACTGAAACACAAGATTCCTCCTTTTCTGTTGAAAAATCCTGTGCCGATAATTCTGATTTTACGTATGGAAAATCCCTCGATATCTTGTTCCTTTTTTGTGGAGAGATGCTATCGCATCACAGGTATTTAACATAACCATACCTAACGTTTTTCCAAAAAGTGGTGACGAAACGTACAACTTGTACAAATTTCCTTGCTATTTTTTAAGGTGCTAAATCTATTTACAACAGGAAGAAATTTTAGAGCTTGATCTGATGTTAGAACTTAGAACACGGTGAAACAGGGAAGTTTCCTCATTTATGCAATGGAAAATAGTCGTTCTGAGTTGTGCTGAAAATCATTCAAAAGAGTAGTGAGGTTTATTATTATCTTTCGGTTTACTCTTACAATTGAAATTCTTATGTAGTACACAACCCTCCTCCACTTGTCTTATTTGTTTTCCTTTCTCTTATTATCCTCTTTTTGCAGTTACCGTAAGTGAAGTTCAGGCATTATTTGAGATGTTCAAGACTATTAGCAGTACAGTAATTGATGACGGGTTAATAAGCAAGGTAGGCTCTATTGAATTGGTGCCATCGGTTTTCAATGGTGCTTATGATATCATGTTGCATAATTTGAGATGGAAAGTTTAAGTTTAAAATTAGACTATGTTACGTATGTCCGGGGGCCTAATACATAAAATCATGTTGGATGTGCAGGAAGAGTTCCAGTTGGCATTATTCGAGAATAGAAAAAAAGAAGACCTCCTTGCAAATCGGGTATGGTATTTCATTGGTATAGTTATATTAGTTTTGGTTCCATTCTACATAATGCTGATTAATTAGTTTGGTACTGAGAACCTATGTTGCTCGGACTCTCCAAAAATATTGTCAGGCGTGCGTCGGATCTTCCAAAAGTAGTATATTTTTGGAGGATGCGACATGGGTGTGGCATCATTTTGGAGATTCTATGCAACATAGTTGAGAACTGGAGCGTGCTTTATTAGAATTGCTCAAGCAAACATACCAATGGGGTTCCTATGAATGTTTGTGTCAAAGAACACGTTTAAGTGGTTCACCAAAATATGGATGTTTGACTTATGGAATGCATTGAGTTTATGTTGTGCGGACTCTGCAAAATGATGTCGTACCCGTGTCGCATCCTCCAAAAATACACTACTTTCGGAGGATCGGACACGCACTCGGCAACATTTTTGGAGAATCCGAGCAACATAGCATTGAGTTGGCACTTGGCAAGCATGCTAATTTTATGTATTTACTAGTGTAGTAGTGTTTATTGCCTTGGCGCGTGAGGGATATTAATTCTCCTAGGAACTTTCCCTTGCAGATTTTTGATCTATTTGATCTGAAGCAAAGAGGAGTCGTTGATTTTGAGGATTTTGTTAGAGTAATGAATGTTTTCCACCCAAATGCCCCCCAGGAAGATAAAATTACTTGTAAGTAAAAGAAAAAATAATATAGCTATGTATTTTGTTAATTGTTTTTAGTTTATCGATTAATTGCATGCGGACAATCACATGGAACTCCATATTTTGTGCTATTTCAGTTTCATTTAGGCTTTATGATCTGGACGGCTCAGGGTATATTGAACGGCAAGAGGTAAGATATTTTTATGTATATTTTGTTTCTCTTTCGTGTTATGTTGACTGTTGAGAGTCACCTATGTGGTTCTCGTTATGTTTTATCTATTGTAGGCTTCATTATTTGTGTTTTTTCACAGGTTAAACAAATGTTGATTGCACTTCTACGCGAGTCTGAGATGAAGTTGGCTGACGAAACCATTGAGATAATACTTGACAAGGTAATTTTACTGGTGATGATGATCCATGAAATTTCATATGATCAGACGAGATTGCTGTACAGACTTTTTCTCTGTTTGAAAGAAGTGCCTAGATTGAAAGACCTATGCATATTTAGTATTGCTGAAATTATGAGATTGGTATCTAAAGCAAGCCAAGGTAGCAAGTCCTAGGCTTGATTGTTCTTTTACAACGTAAAGCTATCAAAATTCTTGTGTTACTCAAGTTATTGACATTTTTGCAATAACTTGCTGTTCGAAAAAGTGCAAATGTTGGCCTCATTTCTGGTACACGTCGGAAATCAGCTGGCTTAATTTGTCTTCTTTTTTTTTTCCTTGAGAAAATGCATCACTACACTAGGTTATTGACAACTTTGCATTAAGATAACCTTTTTACTTGCTTTTTCTGGAAATTTGCCGTCCTAATGAATGGTAGTCTCAGCGAACTTTGAATAATCAGTGATTTTATTTCTGTGTAGACATTTTCAGAGGCAGATTCAAATCAGGATGGGAAGATTGACAAATCTGAATGGCGAAGCTTTGTGGCTCGAAATCCTTCATTATTAAAGATAATGACACTTCCATATCTAAGGTATAGCATTTAATCACTGATATATGTATGCACATTTAGTAAACGAGTTTAAGTCACATACATGGACAGATAACAGTGTAAAGATCAGGTCACATTTACCTATTGCAGAATTTTTTAGGTCACCTGATAGTGTAAACATTTCTTTACTGTCGGTATATATAAGTTAAATTCTTAAAAGATTAGACGAGGATGATATCGGCTGATGAGATTTATACATGTTTTAATGCAGGGATGTAACCACTACTTTTCCAAGTTTTGTATTTCATTCAGAAGTTGATGAAGTTGCAACTTGAGAGTAGAAAATGTAGTTCAGAATTAGTTTTTCTCCTCCATATTTCTTTTGTTTTTCCCCTAATATATTAAATGTATGTAAATTTGTTGGGGAAAATGCGAACTATATATCTTAATTGGGTGAGGAGGTTTTGTTAGCCCTCCCTTTTTGTAAAGTGATTATGCTCTTGCCAATTTGGGCAATTAATAGTGAGTTTAGAGATAATTGTTCCAAATCCGCGTAAATGATTGATTTTTCCAAGAAATCACATTTTATTTGATGTTTTTTCCCGTATAGAATCACGTTTTATGTAAAAATTTCGACCTTTTGGTATACATATTGTATGCGGTCTCATGCTACTGCTTTGTTTGGGTTATATTTTGTAACGGCTAGTTAATATAAAAAAATGTCTTAGAAGCAGGGGGGGGGAAAAGAGTGAAATATTCAAACAAGCAAGCTAGTTGAGATTTCTCTTATTAGAACCTAATATTAAGATTGGAGTAAGGGGAGCCTTGGCGTAATTGATAAAGTTATTGTCATGTGACCGGGAGGTCACGGGTTCGAACTGTGGAAACAGCTTCTTGCAGAAATGCAAAGTAAGGCTGCGTACAATAGACCCTTATGGTCAGGCCCTTCCCCGCACCCCGCACGAACTGTGGAAACAGCTTCTTGCAGAAATGCAAGGTAAGGCTGCGTACAATAGACCCTTATGGTCCGGCCCTTCCCCGCACCCCGCATATAGCGGGAGCTTAGTGCACCGGGCTGCCCCTTTATTAAGATTGAAGTGCTCTTGTTTTGATAATGTTCCAAGTGGAATATGCATAGATGTTCAATCTAATAGTGAACCACCAAAATTCTGGGCTATTTTCAACTTCTTTAATATGAATTACTTTCTAAATATTGTATTGACTTGTTGTTTTGAGGGAATGATAATGCTATTATCCATTTTGAGTCTAGGCACGTACAACTTTAAAATAATTACTAAAGTTCTAAGCCTTGTTTCCTTATATACTAGTATCTCTCCATTATTTTTTCAATGTGAGATTCACGTAGGGTGTCATAGAACTATCTTGTGTTGGCTCGAATAGAAAAATAAGCAACTTCTATTAGCGCCTACCTCGAGTCGAATTGATTGTGGCATGTGCAATATTCATAAATGATGGTTTATTAATGTCCATGGATTTAGGCTCATTTGCCTCTCTCTCAACTATGAAAAAGATATCGAGGGGTCCGAAAAGCTCGCGGAATCTTTAAACACATAACTGAAGTCTAAGCCTTATATTTTTATTGCACAACATCTATTTCTTGTATTTTTATTGCACAACATCTATTTCTTGTTTTGTCAATGTGAAATTCATCTAGGGTGTCACACAATCACCATTTTGTATTGGCTCGAATAGAAAAATAAGTCACTACTATTAGCCCCTACCTTGAATCGAATTGATCGTGGCATGTGCAACACCCATAAATGATGATTCATTAACGTACATTGATTTAGACTCTTTTGCGTGTCTCAACTACGAACAAGATCAAGTCGAGTTTATTCTATTTTCTAAGACCAGTTAAAATTTATATGGAACAATAAATTAATAATTAGATATTGATTCCATTGACTAGAAAGACAGTTTTTTTTATTTAAAAGGGATATGACATCATATTTTTTAGTATCTTGACCTTTTCATTTTTTGATCGTTACTACCATTTCTATTTAGTTTTAATTAAAGCAATAGATGTTCCATTTTAAAGAACCAACACTATCAATACTGGAAATAAAAATAAAAATATAGTTTTCAACCTATGCTTTCCATTTCCAACAAAAGTATTATCAATTATGGATAAAGAACAATCCGGTGCACAAAGCATTCCGAGTTCACGCAGGTTGGGGGAAGGGCCGCATGCTAAAAGGTACGATGTAGACAAAGGCGAATCCAAAATTTAAAGTTTATGGATTCCTACACAAATTTTAACTTAATATACAATAATAACTAGATTAATGGATTGGGTTCCAAGCTAAATATTCTTATATATTTAATGAATTTTTCAATACAAATACCAGATCTAGACAAAAACTACTGAGTTCACGAGAGCCTGTATCTAATTCACTGGATCCGCCCCTGGATGTAGACAACATACCCTAATGCAAGCATTAAAGGCTGCTTCCACTGCTCGAACTGTGACCTTTGGATATCAAATAAAAATTTGGTATACTTGATTAATTCTAGAAATGGTTTAAGGCAATAAAAAAGAAAAAGAGAGAGAAGAGAGGTAATATTCTTTTCAAACAAGTGGTCGATCAACCGCATGTTATGCTCAATTGAAATTCTTTAATCACATAAAAATTAGAATCTATGCAAAATTTTGATGAATAAAAATATAACCACTCTTTTTCCTAAGACATCTCTTAACCACAACATTAATTCTCATCTTTCTTCTTCTCTACATTGTTTTCTTGTTTCATTATCAAAATTGTGTACCTTTTTGTAACCCCTTTTGGGACTTGACTCCATAATCATCTTTTGTGAGAGGAAACAGGTCTTTTTTGATCTGTTCTCTTCTCTCTTCTTTTTTCATTAACCAGCCATTAAAAATGGCTTGGCCACTACTTCTCCTGTTGTTTTCATCTCTAACTTTTTCACATGCACAACTCACATTAGACTATTATGCCAAAACATGTCCACAATTTGATGCTATAGTGAGGGACATCACCCAACAAAAGCAAATGCAATTCCCCACCACCGCGGCCGCTACCCTTCGAGTCTTTTTCCACGACTGCGCTGTTGATGGTTGTGATGCCTCCATCCTTATCAAACCCACCGCCTTCAACAAACCCGAGCTCGAATACGACATCAATCAATCCCTCGCCGGCGACGCGTTCGACCTCATCACGCGCATCAAGACCGCCCTCGAGCTCGCCTGTCCCGGTGTCGTATCCTGCGCGGATATTTTAGCGACCGCCACACGAAATCTTGTCGTTCAAACTGGTGGACCCCATTATAAAGTTCCACTAGGCCGAAAGGATAGTCTAGTTTCTAACGTTTCAAACGTGGAAGCGCACCTGACACGTGCAAACGCGACGGTGGACCTAATGATCAAGAAATTTCAACCTATGGACATTGATGTTAAAGATATGGTTGTGTTAATTGGTGGTGGACACACCATTGGATTTGTCCATTGTAAGGAGTTTGCAAACCGAATTTTCCCCACCCCTGACCCTACAATGAATCCAATATTAGTTGAGAGATTAAGAACAATGTGTGCAAATTATACTAATAACAAAGACATGGCAGCTTTCCTAGATGTGATATCTCCTGGAAATTTCGACAATGTGTTGTTCAAGAATTTAATGAAGGGAATTGGAGTCCTAGGTTCAGACCAATTACTATATAATGACACTAGAACAAGGCCATTTGTTGAATTATATGCTAAAGATAGCAATGCTTTTGCTACTGATTTTGCTGTTGCAATGGAGAAACTAAGTGTATATCAAGTCAAGATTGGTAATCAAGGAGAGGTGAGGAAGAGATGTGATGCTGTTAACAATGCTCACCCTTGAAAGAGAATAGAGAAAGAAAATGCCATGAATTTTTTCTATGGTTTTGTTTGATTTTTTAATGAACCAAGAACTCTCCATTATGATGTGTAGAATTTGTACTTATGATGATGAATGGTATATTGGATAAGAAAATCATTAGTATTGTGATTATTTTTATCAATCTAGTGTAAGTTTTGCATGTTAAACAATGGGAATAATGGGGGTCCCCTTCCTTTCTGAAATTTGGTTCCATCATAAATTTAGAGAATGTATGTTTACTTGATATTTAAAACTACAAGGGAGTAACATATTAAATCAAAACCTTGCTAGATTTTTCTTTCCCACATGTGATTTTTGCATCAAATTTCACACAGAATATGCTAAATCAAAGCACTGTAATCAGATATAGTACACCATTTAGCCCGAATATTGGATAAGCAAAAGACCATATTGAAGTAATAACACCATCAGAATAGATCACTTTCCCAAACAGTAGCTAATGACTAATTTGAAAGCGTTCACAAACATTAAAATGGTCTTAAAATTGAAAAATGGATCTGATTTCAGAATTCCATAGACAAATCATAAGCAGATAGAAGGAAAGGCAGATGATTGCTCTAACTCTCGGTTTGCTCCCTCAGTCTTCGGATTGTGCTCCTAACTGTCACAGCACTAGCAGTGCTATTGCCAAAAACAAAAAAATTGAATTAATTATTCGCACACAAAAGGGAATTTTATAACAAATATAGAGAGAGTAATTACTTCAATGTATAAGCACCGCCTGCTTTGACTTTGCCGCAATCTTTGCAGCCCCAGATCCCCACTGCTTTTCTCTTCACCGCGTACTGCTCATAGTAGCAAGTATATATATATTCAGAACCCGTGTTTTTAATATACTAGCTCTTTAGAGTAGAGCAGAAAGGCATCCAAGAACCATTACCTTTCCACAAAACTCGCAGAAGTACTTGCTATGCTGGCTAACCTCCATTTTCTTAATCTGCTTTCGCAAACTGGCACCATAACGGGTACCTAAACACATACCAAGACATTTAGGAATATGAAATCTGCCAGACACAAAATAGAACAAATTCTAAGCAACCTCAAATTATGAAAAGGCCATATAAATGCAAAAATCAAAGTTAAATATAAGAATTATGTTATACATATAACAAATAACCAGCGGAACAGAAAAACGGGGAGATAGTACTCCATCAAAACAAATAAAAAAGGAAGCTGACCCCTCCCAATAAGTAGGGTTCTGGACCAAACTCAAGTTCAAAGAATCCACAAAAGTAGTTCCAACTTCGACAATTTGATAACATGCACACAATGTGTGTGCTACAACTTCTAGCATAATCAATAGTACGAGGAAATTATTTGCACATCAATTTTTAAAGTGTGCGGCCAATCTGTCGATTACTGAAATCCAGGTTAACTCGCCATTCTCGCCAAGATAAAAGTCATTTTGAAAAAATATATATACTGAAGCAAGCTGATCAACCATATTCGTGCATAGCAAACATACTAACTGTGCATTTATGTTTAAAAGAGGCTAACATGGACCAAGCAAAAGGAAAAAACATTGTTTAAGAAGAAACCATTAACTCACCATATTTCCCAACTATTCCAGCCTTCTTGGTCCTCTTAGTCTGCAGGGAAAAAATCATATATTATTTTATAACTCATAAAAAAAACCTCAAATGAACAGTGCATCTGCATCATCTAAAGTCGTGTATTGAAATAAACTAAAGTTCAATGCCAACAACCTAGTCCAATGGAATACCATCCTCTTACTGGATCAGTAACTCATACTCCGTCTATCCCATTTTATGCGACACACATTCCTTTTAGTTTATCCCAAAAAGAACGACACCATTCTCTTTTTGGAAAAAACATAACTACATATAAACTTTCAATTATACCCTTAGTAACATGATTTATAGCCATATAAATATCGCTTGTTTTAAGTTTCAAAAGCATTTCTTTCTTTCTTAAACTTTGTGCCCAATCAAACACGGTCACATATATTGGGATGGAGGATAACATAATTGCTAGATTAGGAATATTCTACCTCACTCCAAATCCATCAAATCCGATACCTTTCCTTTTCACAAAAAATTTCCAAGTGAGCCTAATCGCATGAACAGATTAATGTTTTAGTTTACTAAAGACACCCTTTTTAAGCAAATTGTTCTATGAAAAGAGTAAAGGGTTGCACCCAAGGGTGTGGTGTAGTGGTCAATATTGGAACGGACCATTGGGATATCAATTGTCACAGCTCCAGAAACAGCAGCTTAAACTCCTTATCCGCAACTAATTTTATCGGACTCTTTACATCACAAATCTGAGATAAAAACAGCTCCAATTCCAAGTAACCAGAAAGATAGGTTCTTTAACACTTGAACAGTAATCTTCACAAAAAGAAAATCACTAGATTTAACGCAAGCAGAACTATAAAAGAGTTTCTCAACAAGCGAATTTTAACAAAGAAAAACAGAAATCAATCTCCGGTTAAACAAATTATGAAGAAAAGGCAAAACAATTGAGCTGGGATGTGTAAACACAGTTGCATTTATATACAGATTCGTAAAAACTAAATTAAACCATGCATAATTCAGAGAAAAACGAACAATACCATTTTCGCTGACCGTTGATGAATGTCCTGCGCGGGAGCAGCTGTTGACGAAGGGCGTTAGCAGACGAAACCCTAAAAGTGATCATTTTCCTTTAAATAATTATGGACCCGGGTTTGAGTTCGGCCCATTGATAAAGATATTCAGTCCGACCCAAATTTAACATCCAAATAGCATAGGTAAGTCAATTTTTACGACTGATAATTAAAAAATAGTCAGTATTTGTAAAGTCATTGGAAAATAACCATTATTTTATGCGGAGATAAAATCTGAACAAAAATATCCTAGGTGGAATAGGTAAAGTTACAGCATAATATGCTGGATTATGGAGCTCTCGCGTATACTTTCAACATATTATATTAGAACTCCAGCACATTATGCTGAAATCTCATATGTAAAAAAAACAAACAATATGCTGGAATATTTCCAGATTATTAAGGGTATTTTTATTCAAATTTTATTTTTACATAAAAAAATAGTTAAATTTCGATTACTTTTGAAGATGTGACTAATTTTTAATTAGCGGTTGTAAATTAGGCAATTTCAGATTTTATTTTTTTCTTCTCAAGTTTAACACCCGCCTGGCTGTTTCGTTTTTTACATTTTAAAGATTAATCACAGCTCTAGTGTATTATCTGCTTTAATTTCTTAATAAATTTAAGTATATATATTTTTTCAGTGTAAAACATTTCATACCATCAGGTTATTTTTACGGAAAAGGGTCAGCTTTGCCCCTGAACTATTAGATTCGGTCTAATATTGTCCCCCATCCACCTATTGGGCTAAATATATCATTTTCCCGTTAAGGTTTTGGCTCACACATGCCCTTTAAGTTAACATCCCATTTCAGATTAAAAATCAAAATTATTTTTAATGACGTGGCATTATCCTATTGGTTGATTTAAAACCCACCCCAAATATGTCCAATCCACCCACCTGTTTGAGCGCGACCCGACCCGACCCAACTCCTAGATTACCCACTAAACCCTCTAACCCATTGGCCAAAATACACTGATACTCTCTCATACGACTAATACTCCCCTCTTTGAAAATTAGGGTTCTTTTTCTTCTTCCCTCTCCCAAGTCTGAAAATCAGAGTTCTTAGATCTTCTCCATCTTGTTTTAGCTTCAAAATGTCTGAATCTTCTTTTGTTTCTTCCGAAATTCATACGACTGATACTCCCCTCTCTGAAAATTAGGGTTCTTTTTATTCTTCCCTCTCCCAAATCCGAAAATCAGAGTTCTTAGATCTTCTACATCTTGTTTTAGCTTTAAAATATATGAATCTTCTTCTGCTTCTTCCCGTGACCAAAGTGAGAATTGTACATATTATTGTGGATTGATTTCCAACCAATTTACTGCTACAACACCTTTGAATGGTGATCATAGATTCTACAAATGTTGTCGTTATGAAACTAATGGTAGTCGATATTGGGAATGGCGCGACGAAAAACTTTCACCTCATGTGTCAATGTTTATCCATAAGTAAAGAAATTATTTGAATGCCCTTCGTCTCGAAAGAAACAAGCTGAGGAAGACGATGGATGATATGGTTGGGGAGTAAAGCTGCATATTTGAATAACGTATCCTTGGAAGAGAAAGTTTCAAACTTGAAGCAGAAATCGAAGCGATGGAAAAGACTTGCGATATGGTCATGGGCTATTTTTGTTATTTATGTAGCTGGCACAATGATGTATTGAAGTTGGTGCCCTCTAATGTTTTGCGTTGATAATGAAAAATTTCAACATATCTGTGTATTTTTGCGTTGATGGCACAATGATGGTCTGGTTGTATTAATGATGAAAATATGCTGATATTAGTTGTTTAAACTAGTTGTTTTGGTTGTTAAATGAAGGAAATATATAGATTTTAATTGTTTAGATTAGTTGTTTTGGTTGGTTAATGAAGGAAATCTGCAGATTTTAGTTCTTTAGATTGGTTGTTTTGATTGTCAAATGTAAAAAATCTGCAGAAGTTGATGAGAGGAAACTGATGTTTGTTAAGTATGTAAGGACTGTTGGTCTATTTTGTTTGTTAAGATTTATGTTAGTCTATTCTGTTGGTCTAAATCTGCAGATTTCTGCAAATCTGCTAATCAATCAGTACATAACCAAATACTGAAACAGTCACATAACAGAGTCGATAACAATTACACCACTTAACAATTACCAAATACTGAAAGCAGAATCGATAACAATTACATATAACAGTCATTACACAGTAATGACTGTAATAACCAAAACAATCATTACATAACTAATTCACCACTTAAACAGCAAAAAATAAGGTATGAGGCAATCAGTACATAACAGTCAGATTACACAAAAATCATTGAACTACACAAACTACTCTAATGCTTGTCCTTTTTAGTCTTCAGTTTTCCATTTTTTCCCCTTTTTTGCTACTAACTGATTTGCAGACATAGCTGATTTGCCTCTTCAAGTGAGCTTATTTGGTAAATAAGGCAGATTAGTAGGCATGTTAACACCATCCACATCTCTTTTGATGCCAGTCTTCCTAGTACCAATAGGTTCTTGATGCAACTTTCTTTGTTCAAGCCTAGTCTTAGCTTCAGATATCACCTTAGGCATCATATTCGGCCCTTCATCTTCATCTTCATTTTTATCTTCACATTCATATTCATCATCAACTATTATTGAAGGTGCAACAAATACCTTCCCTTGAGCTATGTTTGAAGGTCCATCACATTGACTCACTCTAGGAGTAGGCATGAAAACAAATTCTGAATTTTGACTGTCTTGTGGTGCCGTTAAGGGCACATCTTGTACTTTTTGGGAAGTTCCTTCACCATTATCCTACAAGAGTTGTTCATTAAATGGTGTTTATAAATTAGAATTTTTTGTGAGATAAGAAAATATGTGAAAAAGACTATTACCAAAGGGCATTTTCTTATGTTGTGGCCTGTTGTACTACAGAACCCACATGTCATTACAAGTCTTTTTCTTGAAGCTGACCAAACCCCCTCCCTTTTCCTAGCCTCATCTTTTTCTCTTTATCTCTTTACCTTTGGTTTACCCACAATTTTTATGTATTTCTGGTGGTTCCATTGCATGTTGTGGCTCAACTTTTCCAAAATTTTTACCTCTCACTGGTTGTAACTTATGCATGTATGCCAACATATAAGCTTCCTTTGAATACCACCAATGCACCGCGTTTAATGGATCTTATTTGTCGTGCATTAAGGCTTTGATAGCATGAGGACATAGTATTCCTGTCAAATTCCATGCCCTCCAAGTACACTTCTTCAATTCCAGGTTAACTATATGCTTATATTTACCCTTAACCACTTCATATCCATAATCTCCATTAAAGACAACTTTACACTCTAATGCAATCACTCTGTAATAATGGTAAAGCTCTATAGCATATGGGCTAATTTCTTCCCTCCAATTCCTGCATTCCTCTTTACGGTTCTTCAACAAATTCATTACCTACCATAAAAAGGAAGATAATAGTATAGTAATAAACAATTATAAAAAATTTAACATAAGGAAAAAAATTACCTTTAATCTAATGTCTTCCAACATCTTGATTATAGGTTTAGTTCTTGCTTTAAGAATCCATTTGTTGAATGATTCGGTAAAGTTATTGTCAACCATCTGATTCTTGCATGTAGTGTCAAAGTAAGCCCTACACCAGTTTTGAGGAAGGTAGTGTAATAGTTCCCTAGCAGCATCTTCATGAATATCACCCAGAGTCTTCAATTGATCTTTGAATTCTTCTTCATAAGTACTCCAAGCACACCACCACATTAACTTGTTCATCTATATACCTCTCTAATTTTTTCTCCAATTAGCTTCAATGTGCCTAGCACACCACCTGTGATTTGCTTTTGGAAGGACAGTGGAAACAACCTCCAACAACCCCTACAATAATGGAAAATCAGTTAATAAAGTATAAATTAAACATATAGTTGGGGAAAAATGGCAAACAATTACCTTTTGCATATCCGACATAAATGTCACGTTTTCACCATTTTCAAGCTCCAAAGAATTTCTCAGTAACTTGATAAACCACTTCCAGGTTCTACCAGTTTCTTTATCCACTACTGCCAATGCAAGAGGATAAAAATATTTCATTGAATCTTGTGCTATGGCCACTAGTAGAATTCTCTTATATTTCTCTTTTAGAAATGTGCCATCTAGGCCTATAAGAGGTCTCAAACCTGCTTTCTGGGCTGTTTTCACTTGAAAGTAAATATACATCCTAAGGAACCTCATTTTTCTTTATGCCAAAGCATCTTTAGAAATGTTTATCACCACATCAGATTCAGGGTTACTGTCCCTCAATTCTTGAGCATAGGCCTCTAACCTATTGTAATCATCAATGAAGATACCCTCCAATTTCTCTAGCACAAACCTATTTACTCTTTTCATCTTTGAATAGCTAACATTAAGTTTGAATTGATCCTCTAGGTCCACCCTCATGTCTTTCACCTTGTATTTAGAATTATTTTGGACTTTGTTCTTAAAATAGTGTACTAAAGCTTGGGGAGTAGCTCTTCCATTCTTGTGTGCGCGTTCACAAGTATGCTTTGTTTTCAAAGTTTTGATTTTAAATCCTTGATCTCTATTATCCTGAGATATCAATAATTCAAAGGGACAACCAACAACACATATATATCTAACTCTACCAGTGTCACTCTTCTTAACCTTAAGGCCCTTCCCATTAACAATTGCATAATACCCCACAATTCTTTTAGCTTCGGCTAAATCCCCAAAACTCATACCCTTTTCCAACTCTTTATACTTGTCTAGTTTGTCATTGACTTCTTTAGTCATTTCCTTACTAAAGAGATCCAATTGATCATTATCATAATCACTAGAGTTATGTTCATATGCTTCCTCTTCCTCACATGACTCACAATCAGTCCCAACATCTACAGTGACACTGTGAGGTTCATTGTGGTGACTTATGCTAGGAGCTGACACATGTTCTTCACCCTCATCAGTACCAAAGAATTGAAGTACACTTACCTGGTTAGTTAAGAGTTGTTGTAGTGTTCTAATTCCCGAATTCCCTTCAACCAGAAAGTACCTACATGAAGGCCCTATTACTAGAAGT